CAGCCGACTTCTCTAGCCGGCCTCAGGCCGGGTGGAGGTCTAGTCTTTGATTGTCGTTTTACTCAGTTTCAGTAGTATTCTAAAATCGATACACTGGATTGACTATTCGAGAATTCGTCTCTATTGTCGTTTTTATAAATACCATATGAATGATATCATTACGTGATTAACGCCAATAATTAATACAGCAGGCTCAAAAAATGGATCGATCGACCCGAACTTTCTTTGGTTTACCGGCGAAGGTTTAGTAGTAAGAAAACAGAAAAAATACGATTTTTAAGAACCAGTTTTAATCGATAAAAGAAAGACTAAAATCTATTAAAATTAATTTTTAGAGCTGAAAAAGCAGGTTTCAAGCAAAGTTAAGAGAGACTCCACCAGAAGACCGACCATGTTATAGCTACAGTAAAAATTTTATATTTTGAATTCGTTCATTTAATTCGAAAGTCTACAAAAAATTGTCATGAAAACAGAAATATCAGTTCATTCCGGTTTACTTGTATAAAAATAATACGAAACGCAACATTTCGAAACATCGAAGCACACTCGAAACATTGACTTTTCAATTCTGATTGTATTTTGCAGTTTTCTCGTCTGTCATCTGGTGGTTTGAGACGTGAAACATCTCAAACGATAGAGATATTTTTCTTTACAAAACATGTTATTTCTTTTCTATTGTTTTTCGAACGCTATCTTTTATTAACAAGAGATCAATCAAAGAAAAATAGGGATACCATTTCGATCATGCATTTTAGTATCATGGGAAAAAGCACTAGCAGAGTAAGAGTTACTAGTATGGGTTTCAAACGTACGTCTTTGAATAGTCGTCTACTTTCATTCATCTCGATTTTATAGAAAGAACCGAAAATTAACCATTTTCATGAGTGTATTGAATAGAGAGACGTTTAACTTGATGATTGTGGCAATCGATAACATAGAACATGCCATGTCGACCAATGAACAGTTCGTGGGCCCTCACGATTGATTTGCTCTTTCTCCTCAACCCTTTCCACCCACAATGATAATACCCTGTTTCGCTTCTTTAGGCCAATGCATCACTTGCTGATTCCTATATTCTGCCACATAGATGATATCCAATGTATCGATAAACAGTTCTATAGGACAATATAATTATGTCAGAGCCTTCCATTTACCTTGACTACCGGCGATGCCAATATCTTCTTTTGCGTCTTCATCTCGTTTCATCAAACGATGATTACAGTTGTCTGATACATGGACAACCTGTTGTTGATCGAGAAAGATGCAGGTCGACAAGTTGAGTTGCATGTTTGTCGATGTCACAGATGTAAAAATATCTCGGTGAGCGGACAACTGATCATAGGAAATTGATCATGGGACAACTGATCACGGACAATTGATCATGGATAATTGATCATGACAGACAACTGATCACGGCGGACGACTGATCATGAATAACTGATCATAAAGGAAAATTGATCATGAAGGGTCACGAGATTATTGTTATCGTTTAGGATGGGTGTGTGGGTGTGGGTGTGGGAGTAGGTGTAGGTGTGGGTGGTGTGGGTGTGTGGGTGTGGGAGTAGGTGTAGATGTGGGTGGGTGTAGGTGTGGGTGTGGGTGGGTGTGGGTGGCTGGCTGTGAGTGTGGGTGTGAATTTATTTCTTATTTTTAAAACCCACACCCACACTCACACTCCACCTACACCCACACCCGCACCCCACACTCGCACCCACCACACACCCACACTCACACCCACCCACACCCACATCAACACTCTCTCTCTGTTCGTTTTTGTTAGGAAATAAATGACAATTATCAATTATCGAACGAATTTTTATGATCAACTGCTCAAGATCAGTTGTTCCTTATGATCAGTTGTCGTCATGATCAGTTTTTCCATGATCAGATGATCATGATCAGTTGTCCGTGATAAGTTATGCCATGATCAGTTGTCCTAGACCCAAATATCTCTGATCATGCATGGCTAATGCGTTACAAAGTGTATTCTGGAGAAGGATATTTTCTTGAGTTCTATCACTACTACGAGATCGTCGTATGGCTCGTTGACTCTCTTTGTAACATATAATGAGATTATCCGCCTCTTTGTCGATCAGCACATCAGTTAGATCATTCAATTGGTCCAATCGATTTTCTTGACCATGGTCAACAGCTACCATTGGATCATTTGTATCACCGATATTCAATTGGATGATTCGATAGTTACAGTAGTCTGCTTCCAGCAATTGTCATCCTAGTTTGTATCAATCGAGCTTTTACTGAGAAAAAGAAACATTCAAATGGTTAACTGTAAACTCGATAGATCTATCAAACGAAAATACGAAAAACTAGAATAAATTCTAACATATTTTACACTTTACTCTACATATAATGCTATATCTTTATTAATAGCTTTCATAGGTGAAAGAATAATTATTCATTTGTTAAAATATTTTTCAAAGTTTGATAATGAACAATAGTTAATGGTGTGATCAATATTTTTAATACAACAAGAAACGAAAATAAAAATATGCGAATACAAATGATAAGTGTATAATGAACATTCAGTGTGTTCGAAATAAAAAAATTCACCACGTATACACGTATACGTAATAGCAAATAGATTTGATAAAGGAAAAAAATCAAGTTTTTGTTTTAAACCATCCTTATCGGAATCATGTTAATAAAATACATTAGAACCAAGAAACATTGTAATGGAAATGACGTGTCATCATAAGATTTTCTTGAATGCATTGATTATTTTCTAATACAACCAATAATATATATTTAAAATCTAATTTATAAACAGAATACTAACATTTCTGACCAACTATATCATCTGTTTTATATTCTATCTAACTTTTTGCTTCAATTCGTTTTTTTTTGTGTAAATACATTTAATTCTTCTGTTTCTATTTTTAAATCTTAATTGAATATTCATGTTGTTGAATGAATATGTTTTATCATAGAAAAAAACAGAAAACGTCGGATAATAAATCAGAATTAAAACCGAACAAATCAATAGCATTATCTATTTTTTTTGCTTTATTAAATAATCGAGAGGTGTTGTCTTTGCTAAAAATAAATACAAACGGTGAAACATTTTTCTTTCGATGCTAGACATTCCTCCACATGCCATTTTGCCAAAAATCTTTTTTATTATTTTGTTATCTAAAACAATAATTGGAAGTGTTCATTTTTCACAACTTTAAAAAATAGTATTTCTTGTTCTTATCTAGTATTCTATAAGGATAATTTTTTTCCATCGTATTCGTGTTCAGTGTATTTAAGTAAGATGACATAAGGATATTTAAAAAACTATCTAAAAAATGTAAAAATCATAATCGATGGAGAGTTAAAAAGAGAAGGTACTTTTCATACATAATGCACAAAATAGAGAGACTCCGGACTAGACAGATGTGAACCAGGAAAAAAAGAATATCTCAAAAACAGAACCGATATCGGTATTAAGGAAAAATTTGTGCTAGAGATTTATTTTTAATATAATAATACTTTTCGCTGTACATGTTTCAATTCAATCTCCCTAAGACTAAAAAATGTAAGAGAATAGAAGCCCTATATCGATTCAGTATTAGTATATCTTCGTCTACCAAAATCAAAAATCCTATTCATGAAGTCTTGTCAAATTCTTATAAGATTCTACAAATTCTTATTGTATGATCTTCTATGTACAGATAATATCATAGAAAAATCGTCAAAGATCTTGTACGATTTTCAAGATCAACCTGTGAGACGGCTAACTTACGAAAAATCTTAGCCATTGGAAAAATTAATATCAAGTATTGTTGTAAGATTTTTATGAAGCCTCTCTGACATTTTCAGTTTCGTGCGATCCTATCGAAAAGTCAAATAAAATCGCGTCAGATCGTTCGATTTTGTGAATATTTTACCATACTATTGATTAAGTTTTTTTCAATGACTATTTTGCTAGGATTTTGTGTGACTCTTAAAAGATTTTGGACCAGACCAATCACTGAAGCTTGAAATATTTTACGTTCTATTTGCTTGACCTTGAAGTGTTCCCAATGATATCGTTTTATACGATACTGTAAGATCCTAATTTCCACTTCTCTTGGTTTGTCCTGTTAAAAAAATGTTGTTTTATATCATATATACATATATATGTGGCGTCGAAGTTATTTCCGAATAACTAAATATCAAAAAAATCATCGTTTTATTGATGATGATAAAATCAAAATATATACTTATAGTTAACTTTCATTTTAAAAATGTGTATCATTTTCATGATCTGCTTCGTCTTTGTGTGGAGTTGTTATAAGAGCTTTTCTTTTAGTTGCTCTGGTTTCAAAGTGAGAGAAAGTATATTTACAACTAATGAAATAGACTCTTAAAATGTTAAGCTCATATTTAAACAAACGTTTAAGCATATGAATTTGCATGTGAATGGATTTAGATGAAGAGCTGACCCAAACCTATAGATATGACTACTGTAATAACAAACTTTTTACAATGTTCTAGCAAATGACTCTCGTGGTCATGGATATACTTTTAATAGAACCATTGTGAGTTGAGCGGGACCATGTTATCAAAGCCTAATTTAGTTTCGAAGCTTGTAATATATTCATCTCACAAAATACATGACATTCCATGTAAAAAAAGACACCTAAAAATCAGTTTATAATCTATTATAATGGCACTATTTTAATCTAATTAAAATCAGATTTTTTAGCATTAAAAGAAAAAATTATTTTGATTTTAATCATTTTTAATCAATTTTAATAGATTAAATTTTGGTTATCGATTAAAATAGATTAAAATCAAAATAATTTTTTCTTTTAATGCTGAACAATCTAATTTTAATCAGATTAAAATAGTATCATTATAATAGATTATTAATCCGAAAATAATCGATTTTAATATAATTTTGAGTTGTGTTTTTACATGGGATATCCTTCATGTGCCATAGAATTGTTATCATATATATGTGAACTTCAAAGTGGATACTATTAGTGTCCTTTATACACTACATCAACTACGTATTATTTTCTTCCTAAGTATATATTCATATGATGAAATGTAATACCCTAACCTATACTGAATGTCTTTCTTTTACATAAACATTGGTTCTAATTATCACATATGTTTTATCCGAATAGTTCATTCATTTATATGTAATAATATAGACAAATATTTAGTAAGTTGTCGAGGTCAGTAAAACGGCAATCAGCTATTTATAAAATGAACACTTTGATAGCTGTAAATGGCATATTAGATAAATATTCATTTGCTCATACGTCAAAGTTTATGACATAACCGATGGTGATGACAATGCGTGATTTGACTAACAATGAAAGCAACCATTATTGTAATAGTGTTGATTGAATAAGTAAAAAGAACAAAAAAAAGACTCGTTTTGAAAATAACACGAAAGAATACATTTCCCATATGAATTTCTTTTTTTTTTGTCTTTCAGATTAAATATTTATCCTTCTTTTGTAATGGTTTAATATTCTTTTCTTTACAAGGACCGAGAATCGTGAGCTAGAAATTTTCACTGAACAATAATTATTATCCGTATCAAATTATATACAGAAAAGTAGGTTTAAAAAAAAAAAGTCGAAATAATTAAAAAAATGGCAATCATTCATATAGATGTTATTTAGAACTATTTGTGTTATTCGCTAGTTGTCAAAAGTGTTTTGTAGATTTGCTTTCATAAACATATTAATTTATTCTGTTATACCAGTCAATCTTGTCCTATATCATTAAATATCATCATTTATCTTAATCATCAACTTGAGAAAGAAAATGAACATTAGACAATAGTCTATATTATTAACGGAAGGCAATTGAAGATGATGTGTTCTATAGCTTTTATAGACATACAAGAATTGAAGAATTGAGCAGTTATTTGCCAACATTGTACTTCCTCTCGAGCTATGGATTAACAATTGAATCCCAATTGCGTAAGTAAAAAAAGAAAAAGAAAAAGAAAAAGAAAACGAGAACATTATCTCATAGATGAACATCACTATGGAAAGAGAGAAGTAATCAGCATAAAGAACCACTTCAACTATTGTAATAATGCTTGACCTTATTCTTCATACATTGTTCACATCCTTTTTTTTTTTGCTGGAGAAAAAAAGATAGACAGACTGTCTTCATTGAGACACTATACAACATCGGTCATACATGGATATATTTTTCTCCTGTTCTTTTCCCTCTTTGTTGAATTAGAAATGTCTGGAAGAACAATGACTACTAGATAGAATTTATGATTTGTTCTTTTCTCAATTGTTCATCTATTCATTCCATGTTAAGTTACCGATAGTGTTTGAATGTCTAGTTTAGATGTTCTTGATCGTAATCTTATCGAAAATAACAATAATTAATTGATGAGTTCAATAACAACAACTATGCAATCATCATCGTTTCAATCATGTGATATATCTGAAGAATCTTATTGTGCACCGTGGAATTTAAAAATACAAGAAGAAAAATTAAAATTATTTAATGAACAACGTCAAGCATCATCATCATCATCAAATACTAGTACACCATTCATTGATAAACTACTGCATTCTTCGAACATAAACAATCAATCAACATCTTCATCATCCAGTCGTAATTATATAAATAAGTCATGTCATCAACCTTGTTCAACACATACATTATCATCAACAAAGAAATCTTTAATACATCTTGAACTAACACCACCTGAACTTCCTCCGTTACCACCAGGTGGTTTAATACCATCATTTCAATGTGGTATAAGCAATGATATTCGAAATAAAAATCCGATTATTGAAAATCTCGATCTGTCATTAAAAAAAAACTCTCAATGTCTTAATCTACATAAGACTTATTCAAGTACAGATACTTCACGTAGTTTTTTATTTGCTTTAACATCACCATCGAATAAGCGTAGTAAAAAACATGATATAACAGCAACTACAAATAATACTCAATCAATGCCATTTGAAGTATGTTCGTTCTTGAGAACATATTAGAAAGTTGTTCTATCTTTTCTTTAGACATCTTTACTTCATTTTAAACATTTAAGTTCATCGATTCAAAATAATTCTTTACATAAAATACCAACAAATTATGAACGACCATGGGATAAATTACAAACACCTTTTATCAATAATCTTTCATTGACAAATAATCGTAATGGAGGATCATTACAAAAGATGCCATATACAGAACAAACTCAACAAAATTGTTCACCATCGACAATTTCTTTGACTTCTCCATGTCAACATTTAGAAGACATAAGAGAAATTCCCATTGATTGTTATTTGTATGTATTTATTTCAATTTGATAGAAAGATTTTTTTTTTGTAAATGTATTTATTTAGTTGGTACCATCATGCAATGTCTCGACGAGAAGCTGAAAATGTTTTACAATCTCGTCCATCGGGTAGTTTTCTTGTACGTCAAAGTGAAAGTGGAAATCACAATGATTATTCACTTTCTATTAGGTATAAGTGTAGAGTTTTATTTTTAAAACGTATATTCTTGTTTTATTTTATTTAATAGAACAATAAAAGGTTGTATGCATATGCGTATATGCTATTCTGAAGGTTTTTATATTCTTGGAGAATGTTCAAGACCATTTTCAAGTGTATCATGTATGATAAAATATTTTAGTCAAATATCTGTACCTATTCGTGGTGCAGCACATATTAAATTAGGTACACCGGTATTACGATGGGAAATATTAACATCGTCATCATTGTCTAATGAAGAACTTTTGTAAATTTATTTTCTGGTGATTTTTTTTTGCTTTAATATTCAAGTGTTAGCATTCGACTAGTAATTAAATAAAAATAATTTTTTGTAACATTTGAAATGAAATCTTGCACAACGTGAATAGATGGCACGATAAAAGTGAAGGAAATACGAAAAATTTGACGATCTTCATGTATATTCTCATGAGCTTTGTATATCTTACATTTACATTCATTGAGTTTTGTAAATATTTTTGATATTTTTTGATTATGTATTATTCGACTGACAACTAACGACACATTTTATGCAAACCTCCTTCTGTTGCTTGACGATCACAATTTTTTTAATATTATCAATGGCAAATACAATACTTCTTCATTTGCTTTTCACATTCAATTGAACGAAAAAATAAAATGTCACGTAACTATAGTGCTTCTCAATTTGAGCAAACATTTGTACCAAAACGTTTGCAAATGTACGAAGTACCGCAAGATCCACAACCAGGCGTGGTTTGTATATAATAAATAAAAATGAATAAATTAGTTCTATTTAACTTCGGTCTTGTAGCATCCAAAAGCAACATTATCTTTGAATGCAAGTAATTTTATTACGAATGATCATGGTCATCTTTTACCTGGTATAAAAAAATCAGAACGATCACCATTTGGTGAATTTATTGGAACATGGGATTTACCAAAAAGAATTCCTGGTCCATATCATGTACATCCAATGGGACGAACAGAAAAAAGTTTCGATGCACTTTGTGCACAACGAGATCAAACTATTAAAGAAATGGAAAAAGCACGAGTTTATGAAGTAGGTTTAACAATGAGAAGTGTTGTTTTTTTTTTTCGTTGTTTTAATTTATTTATTTGTATTGTAGAAAGAAGGATCATCCATTCAACAAACTTCATAACAAAGACAAACAAATAATTGGAAAATTAAAAAAAAAAAAGAAAACTATTTTTTATTCCTTTTTAAGTTAAATTGCTTTGATGCTTTTCGAATAAGAACATTGAAATATATGTATATTATCGAACATTCGAGTTGCATGTATCTATAATAATTAAAACAACATACGCTAAACACGATTCTGAAGTTGAATGTTGCTAACGATTTAATAAACATCTAAGCATTCATAATGAAAAAAAAAATACTCTATGAGAGTTATTATAAATAAAATTTGAAGACTTCAAGACAGTTTCAGTAGTGGACAAAAGTTTTCTCTTTCTAGTTGAATTGTACCAAATGATTTAATAAGATGAAAAATTTCAATTGTAAAAGTTTATAGTATATTTTGTGAACTTCATATTATTCATGGTCTTATTGAGTACTAATGTCGATGTATATTTGAGAGTGTATCTTCTTTCAATCGCTACAACATCGAATCTTGACTAATTTTTTTCTGAACTGTTCATAAGAGATCAACTGATAAATTTGAATGCATAAATTTGGTATATAAGTTGTGCTTCAAACAGGAAATGTGACCGAAGTCTTGATTTGAGAAGTATTTTTCAACATTGACTTTGATAGGTTGTTTAACAATTCTGACGATCATTTATTTTTCTCACCAATTCTAGATCAATCCTTAAACAGAATTAAGATAACGGATGTTCTCCTCAGAAAATATCACGGGTGCAGTTATTAATTTGATGGAAATTGGCTAGTCAGAATTTCTAGAAAGTTTTACTAGAAGATGACTTATGTTCGATATTGTATTTTCCATGATAAAAGAAGAAGGTAGATCGTGTTATATCTTTCGTTGATATGTTGTTTTGAGAATAATAAAAATGTCGGAACGAATTGATTTTTAATATTATCTATTAAGTGAGAAAACTTTTGATAACTTGTCAAAACTTTCAAATAGAAGCATTCTATGAGTTATTGATGTCAGATCAAGAGAAATTCTTTGAGTTCAAATAGCACTAATAATAATTGTGATATCGATTTGTTCATCGGATTTGACTCATACACAAGCAAAACATAATTAAGTGATGTTAGATTTCTTTTGATATTGGATCTACATTGTCGAAATCAAATATTTATATTAGTGTATACAAATCTTCTCTATATATCAGAAAAATTACAATTTCAATTTATCAATCGTTAGCAAGTATATCTGCTATAAACCACGAGCGATATCTATCAAACTATTTTTTTATTCAAGGATTCTACTTATTTTGTATACACCAATCGGATTCAATAACTTACGCATTCTGTTCTAAGTGTTTTCTTTTTCTACTATATTTTTCGATATGTTTCGTAATAAAAAATAAGTGACATCACATAGATACCAAAATCACTTCTAACTAAATTTTGAAATTCTTCAATTCGATCAACATATTAATCATTGTGTCAATCCGTCACCAAAAATTTAAGATTTGTCAATTTTTTTTTCTCAAATTATACTTTCAACAATGTAACTTCGGAAATTTATTAGTTTTCAATATTTCCTTTATTCTGAATAGTTATAACAATTAGTTATTAATCTTGAATTTCTGATAAAGAAGTTTCTTCGAATATATACATATATTAGAATAACCTCTCTTATTTTCACATTCATAAATCAATTCTCTAAATGAATATATTTTTTTAAATGACGTTTTTTTCAGACCATAAAAAAGAGCACAACATGCGTCTCGAAACATGTTATTATTGTTCATCGACGATCTGGCCTGGTCATGGCATACAATTTGTACGAAATGATTGCAAGGTAGAATATTTTTTGTTTCTAATTTTTAAAACTTTTTTTTTTTTTTACTAAAACAAATAAAATTAGATCTTTCGATTTTGCCGTTCACGTTGTCATCGTGCATTTAAAAAGAAATGGAATCCACGTAAATCACGTTGGACAAAAGCACATAGAAAATTTACTGGTAAAGATTTAGCAACAGATACAACATTTGAATTTGAACAACGTCGAAATGAACCAGTTAAATATAGTCGTGAATTATGGCAAAATACATGTAAGCAAAAAATTTAAAAAAAAATAATATTTAAAAAACTAAATCTAATATTTACTTGTTTCAGTTAATGCTATGAAAAGAGTTGAAGAAATTCGTGTTAAACGAGAACGACATCACATTATGAAACGGTAAAAATTTGAGGTTTTTTTTGTAATGAAACGAAAACTATAAGTGTGGATTTTCTTTTAGTCTTCGGCAAGGTACACTTGATCGAAAAGCAGCTGATTTACGTGAAGTACGTGATTATGTTCATCTTGTTCGAGCACCGAATGCAACAAAACCAATGGAAGAAATTGAAATGGTTCAAAAAGCTATTCAAAAACGTGAAGAAGCTGGTGAACTTTTAACTAAAGTTGGTACAACAGTAGCTACAACAAAAAAATTATCAGCATTACGTCGTCGTGCACCGAAAATTGAAGTTACAATGGAAACATCAGATAATGAACAAATGCTTACAGAACATATGGAATAAACGCTATTTGTTTTGTTGTTATTGTTTTGAGAAAAAAAAAACATAATAAAATATTTATGGATCGTCGTCAAATCGTTTATTAACCGTAGATTTGCAAGATTATATAAAGAAGAAAAAGAAAACCGTTTCAATTTGTTATCTTGAATATATATGTGTCGAAAAATCTTATCTATTGAAAGAAAAAATATGCCGTAACTTTATGTCACTTTGTGATAGGAGATTCTGCCTAGCGAACGATGCAATAACTCGAAGTCTTTCCTACAACTATGACCTAGCTGTAGCTCTGAATAACAAGCCGATTTTAATTAGAGTTCTTGTGCTCAATTTTTTCACTTCTTCACACACTTTTTAACTGCCTGCACAAGAGAATGTACGCTGTGAGTCTGGTTCTTCTTTCCATTCAAATTTCACATGTGCTTCGATTGCAAGCTAATTTTTGTAGATTGACCGAAAAGATCTCCTTAGAAACGCGTTTTTTTAAGAAATATTTTAGAGCATTCTTTATCACTTCATTTCAGGAGATTAGCATTAGTAGAGGTAACAGTTGTCTAATCAAAAAAGTTTTGTTATTACATACTATGAACAACGAATAGTATAATACAAATGGAGAGATAATTCAACGATATTTTGATCAATGTGTTATGAACTGTGGAGAAAGTATGTATAGAGACTGTTCGTTTTTATCAACTTGTTGTTACAACTTAACGAAAAATATCATGACATTTTTTATTCGCAGTGAAATGTATATTTTTGTCTTGTATTTCATATTCAAGCATTTCGTTTATTAAATAGGTATGAACTGCCCACATCGAAAGTCCTTCTCCGTCTTGATTGATATTTTGAATAATTGGAATTTTCATTAGTATATTTATTTAGTTTTCAGCCGGAAAACCCTGAAAGACTATGATCATCATTATTTCTGTGCTTGCAAATCTCTAAAGTCATGATCTCGAATATCTCAGACATATATCTTTATAAAAGTAGATTGAATATGTTCAACAAGTTTATTTACCAGTTAAATAAGTGATTAAAATAATAATAATGTTAAATTAAAAAAAAACGAAATACGAAAATGAAAAATAACAAGCGAATAGCAACAAGAAAAACAAAAAACTAGTCAAAAGTGCCAGTAAAAAACAGGAAAAAGTTTCTGTTCGGCATGCAGGAATAAATAATATAAATCGTTTCACTAGCGATTGATTATCTTTATAAAAAACAGCTATGAAGTCTGCTAGAGATTTTTCACTTAACATATTTTGTATTAGTATAATAAGATTAAAGAACACATGTGAGTTCCAAATTTTAGCCTCAAAGAGGCTGTGATAACAAGCTTTTTATACGATATCTAATAAATGAAACACAAAAACAAAAAAAAAGAAAAATTATTTATCTACTAAATATCGAATAAGTCCATAATAAATATTTGTTAATTTTTTATTACTAAATTGAGCATATACGATTATTTCTCGTTGTGGTACAGTAATTTGTTGTTTAAATATATCATTTTTTAACGTCATTTCTTCTAACCAAATGCCATCAAGTGAAATTCTAACATAAGCTGCATTAGGAATACGACAATGAATTGTTACTTTTGTTCCATACTTAAGAATACCATCTAGTGGTGAAAATATTTGACATTTATATTCAATAAATTTTCCATAAGTTATCGGAAAAATTTTTTTTTGTATAAAATCTTTCGATGATACTTCAACACCTAATTCAATAACATTAATTAATGTATTTGATATTAATAAACGATTAGCATAGATAATTAACGTATGAAAACCAATTTTACATGGTGCAAATAAACATTGCCAAATTTGTCGACTAATATCATATTGTGTAAGACAAGTACTTTTATGATCATTTTTTATTGAACATGTTAATTGAACATCATTTGGTGCTTGAACTAATACTTCAGCATAAGATTCGTTTTTATCAAAAAGTACAATACTAGAAAATCGAGGTGAAATCAATGTAAGATTATAAATAAAATAATATGAATGTAAATATGGTAAACGAAAAAAATCAAACATTGATATAGGTTTTGATAAAAATTGCCATTGAGAATCATTTGGTAAATGATTATAAATCATATATTCTGGACGAGTTAAAAAATAATGAATATTAAGATGTTTTTTATATTTATGTTTATTATCAATATATCCACTTCCTAAGACTGTATCAATAAGATACCAATGATGACCATTTAATTGTACAGCATTCCATATATGATTTATTTGAGAAAATTTTGATTGATTTATTTGAAAATGAGAATCTTTTGCATAACCTGGAATTGTTATACATTGTATACCAATATCATCACATAATGTTTGAAAAATTGTAGCATAACCTTCAAATGTAGTTTTATGTGAAGAAAAAATATCTTCAGACTTTTGTTTTAAATTATGACTATGATCTATATCAGCATCAATATCATATAAAATGTTTTGTGAAATCCAATAAAAGATTAACCAAACTTGATCAATGATGTTTTTATCTTTGCTTAAGTCTTTAATTAGTGTAATCAATTGATCAATTGATGAAGGTTTCCATGTATGAATTGTTTCACGATAGGATGTATTGTCAATCGCTATTTGTCGTTGACGAATAAAATCCATATCAAAACTATTTGGATCAGATAACCATAAATCAATAGGATTTGTATTTTGAATAATTTGTTTTGTAAATGAATTTTCTTCAATTTGATTTTCTTGTGTATGAATTGAATCATGAGATATATCTAGGATTTTTTGTTTACGTTTTGAACGTTTACTTTTTCTTGAACGATGTCGGCGATTATGATTAATTAGAATAGGAGTTAATGCACGATATGGATTAATATATGCTGAAGCAAAATTAATAAATGGTGGCTTATCGGGAATATATATTTGACGAAGAAGACGTCGTTTTCGTGCATCAGGAGAACGATCTGGTGAATTTTTAGGTGATTTAGATGAAAAGTTTGGAACTGATTGTGGTCGACTTCGATTTGATGGTATCACAACATGGGTATTATCTGGTTGAATAGTCAACGTTGAATTGATTACCATAGCTTTATTTTATATTTAGTTTATGTTACAACACCGAAGAAATACAATTTCTATTTTATTTAAAGTAACTTGTTGTTATGTCAATAATACAAAAGAAAATGTACTTTATATGTTGCTATCCATGTTAAAGAATAAAAAAGAACGTGATTTATGATGTATAAAACAAACTAAAAAAAACAAAAGGATCATATTCATTATTTCTTTTCTTTTTCTTTTGCTGCTTCTGGCTATGTTATAATAAAATAAAAATTCGTAAATATATTATGGGTAATTTTTCTTTATAAGTGACATGGTTTCATAGAATTAAAATCCATACATCTCTTGATTGTGAATTTTACTAGAGCTAATTTTTACTTATTAAAATGAGTGTTGCATGACTACAAATACTTTTCTTTGGATAAGTTATCAATCAAAAAAAACGAACTAGAGTGACGTGACATAACAAGAAAAAGTTTTCAGAATATATATTTCTATTTAAAACTAGATGGTACTCGAGTTTCTCTCGAATACGAAATGCGGTGCGAAACACAAATATCGAGTTCAGAAAAAATCGGTTTCTAATAAAAAACGAAAAATCGTTTTTGAAACCCGTCGTGGATCACGATTCTCCAAAAAACGTTTACGTATCAGTAAAATTCATGTTTTGGGCAAACCAATTGCCAGCGAACAGAATGACCTATCGAGAACTTTGAAAAAACAAACCGTACTGGTTCGATCTTGATACTTTTACATCGCGTTTGAACACGTAGTTTGTAATTTTCCGTTCTCAACATCATCGTGACAAAAAATGACAAGGTTTGATGCGTACCCTGAGTAAGAAAAAAAGAGAAAAAGAGAAAACTCGCGCACAACTACATAAATGCTGTGTTTCGCATCGCATTAATAATCTAGATCGATGACAATACACTCATTCTGAATATTTCGCAAATATCAAATGTGACTTTTCTCAGTTGGTTGATTAATTACGCATATGACCGAAATATAATATGAATACATAATCTCATTCACAGGAGAAATAAAGAAAAAATCGAGGATGTAGGTACGCGTATGTAGATGTAATTGTGTTTTTAGTAGTGTAGCTAAAGAAACCTATATGACATTCTTGCGATACTTGTATCATCGTCGAAACTTCAACAGTCGTCAGATTTATTGAAATCATTCCAATAAAATAGTCTCAATAAAAGCTTGAACATATCATGCTGAGATGATATGACGTATAGTGCAGAGCTGGAAGGTATCCCATTGCTATTGACATATCGGTTATTGACAGGGTTGTCAGATGTGAAACTCGACAATCCGGAATTCAAATCTCAAAATCCGGAAAATCCCGGAATTTTTTTTTTGAAATCAGAAAAAAAATCCGGAAAAATTTTCGAGAGTCTTTTCTCATCACTTAAACTGTCATGTCTTTTATTTTTACTCATTCAAAAATCGATGAAATATTAAATGTAGTATGAATGTAAGCGAGCGAAAATGATAAGAAACAGCCTAATAAATTGGGCTAAAGTTATGTTCAGGAGATGAAAACCATCGAAGCCTACAAACATTGCAATAGAAATACTTATATACCGTTAAGTCGAGACTTGTCGTAATTGCCAAAAGATCAGAAGTTAGTCGAAGATATATATTATGTTTCTATTTATGTCTGATGAAGTTTCAACGATATTTACTATGTAATAGTAATGGTGTGGGAAATATGTATAGTTTATGATAAATAGTATGAGAGGAATAGAACCGAAGTAGAGTTATTTTTGGGGTGTGGGTGAGTGTGGGTGTGTAAAGGGAACATCTAAAACCGCACCCACACCTAATTCAATCATATTGGATACTAATATTTTTGATTTTTGTTTCATCGTCTAGGTGAGACATGGTTGAATCGGTAATATCAGACATATTTTTTTATTTTATTACATGTGTTGTAAAAATAAGAACTTAAGCGAATGATTGACTAAATAAATCAAAAAAGAATACTCTTGTGAGTCGTTTATTTAAGTGGCATGGTTTTTTAGTCAAACTAGGCTGTTGTTTTCCTCATATACATAGAAAGATAGAGCAAAGGGAGAAAAATAATTTTTATCTCAATATCAATACTAGACAATATACTGGAGAAGTCAAAGAGATTTTCAAAGTTATTTTTAATAGAACTGACTGGAGTGATCCAAATTACTTCAGCTCATTTTTTAAAGAAATAAAAAAACTCAGTAGCTTTCTTTCTTTTAAGAATCACAATGCAGTTGTTCAATCGATTAATGAGTACTTCTCAGATTTCATAGAAGAGACTTTGAACTATTGAATGATATATTTTATATTTAATTGCAAATTACCAATAATGAGTATAAGGTTAAAAGACTGGAATTCAACCTATTTTCCCTGACGTGATCTGAATTCTACCTACTGAGATAATTCGGATTACTTTAATAGGATATTCAACACTTTTATAAAATCCCACTCAAAATACTGTTTTTTGCAAGATTGTTAAAAAAATTAACTTTATTGGGGCAAGTCGACTTCTACAGAGCAAGAATAAAGACTACAACATTGATTTGTATCTGTCACAGTTAACATGAGAATCTCGTTGAGTTTGGCATGCGTGAAAGGATGAAAAAAATTCTCTTAGAAAAAATGAATTTGTTTTGGAAATAAAGATTCATAAACAATGTGCAGTAATTCATTTGAACAAGAGTTTATAAAACAAACTCACCTTAAACACAACAAAGACAAATGTTTTTCTTGAATGGATCGTATACGACTTATAAAGTATCAATGATTTTTATTATTTGCATTCCAGTTTTCTGAATCCTCTACTATTGTGATTAGTATGAGTCATACATTAATTGATGTTTATTGTTGCATTCAACTTTCGATATAAACAAAATACAAGATAAGTACTTGACTTAGAATTATTTATTGACTCATTTTGAAAATATTTATCTATATTAGCTATTGAATTTAAGAAGTTTTATGATATTCACTAAATACTAACGATTTCTTTGACAACCATTATGTGTTATATACCATCAATTGATTTATAAGAGAAAAAAAGTTGAGTTTCATCTTCATTAGTACTTATAATCATTTATAATGGTCTCATATTGTGATGTTAGAACATATATGTTATATCAGGCAACTTCATTTTTAAAACTCTCCATTATTTCGCTTCTGTCCGTCATATGTTCGATTCATTTATTTTTAAAAACAAAATATCTATATGAAACTTCAGTTTTTGATATTTGACCATTTATATGAGAATCCTGAATAGAAATATTTTTTCCACGAATGAATTAAAAAATTCTATCTATTAATTGTTGAATATGCACGCACTATTCAATACCTATATGATCAGAAGAAAAATAATAAACATTTATGTTTTATGCAAAAGAAAACACTTGCTCACTGTAGAAAAAGAAAATATTTTTTCTTCAATAGAATTTAACCTATCATTCAAGGTATTCATATCCCATTCATACGAAAAAAATTATAACAAAAATATATACTCATTATTGAATAATAAAAAAAAAATACTTTCGCACTGTACAAAAGATGCTTTTGTCTCTGTACGTTAACGAAACTTTTTATTAGAAACGTAAAAATACTGCTTCAATTTAAACTAGATTTAAAACTTGTCTGCTGTACACCTCCTCATTTTACAAATCAGTTTATTTTTCAATTGATTCAATGTTTATTTTGTGCATTATTCAATATGTATATATGTGACGTTGAGAAATCAAAAGAGAAAACGAAAGAAAAACAAGCAAAACTTCGTCTCCTCTCTCGTTCTATCTGGTCACACATGAACAATTTTCTATTTTAATCATGTATTGTCTTAACTGCCTCTCATTCATTAGCTACCTTGCATGATATTACTTTCTCTTGGCCGTTCTTATTTACATTTTTGATGATAACTACTACATCAATATATTTTTATTTCTTTCTTCCTCTCCTGTTTGAGATAATGGATAAGCGACGTACTTTTTGTTTTGAAGGAGATAAAAAAATGCCAATCAGATAAATAAATGTGATAGATGGATAATTGTCGATTAAACGAATTTTTTCATCAATAATAGTCACATGAGAATAGAAAACAAGAGAAAAAGGGCTATTTTAATACACATAGGGCTTAAGACTATATGAATAGAAAGACGTCACATACGAAAAACTATGCATGATACTACTTAATATTTGCAACGATGTATACTTTTGCTTACGAGAAAAAAATCACTCTCTGTGAGCAAAAAAATAAACACATTTCTGTCGCTATCGATAAAAAAAAGATTATTTTGTCAATTTCTCTTCACTAAGGGGCTCAAGAGTATATAAAGCGAAAGCAACACTGTACGATTATACCATTTTATTTCTTCTTGATATTTATTTTTCATTTTCTTTTCAGACATCAAAGACCAACAAGCAACAATGAAACAGTTCAGCATAATGATTTGTTGGATGGTCTGTTTAATATTGTTGGCAACAATTTTTATCACACAAGCAGATCCAGCTCAAAATGCAAACTCTAAAATATTGCTCCGCCACGTACGAAACAAACGTAAGTTTTCTTCTCTTACCACAAAGTTTTAGGTTTACCCAACATTCATATAATCAACTTCAAATTCTTGCTTCGAATTCGACAAAATATTTGAATAGTTGCTTTTTATGGAAAGCAACCATTCCAAAATTTGTCCGATTCGAATCAATAATTTTTACTTCATCATATCATCGACGAACACACGATCCAGGAATACGATAGATTAAGAAATTATTCAAATGTATTATTCAATGCCGATCAAAAATTTTGCACTTGATTAAACCATCGCTAACACTTGATCAAGAAATTATTCATAGCAAACCGTTATTTCAAAATTTTGTTTTACTCGAAGGAAAGATTTACAGTTGACTATATCATGCAGCAAAACTCGATCAACGAATAATGCATACGAAACTACTCTTCAAATATTTTCTGTTATTTCAAGAAATGACTTGAAGCTGATTATATCATCGGGGCACAC